AACTCTATTCTCTTGGAGCCCTCGTGCTCTAGTTATCGCCATTGAATCTGGTTTGACCCCCCACTGGAATTTATTGTAAAAAAGTTCTCCAAATACAGCTACCAGTGAAACAAAAAATTACAAAGAAGATTAAAATGATTACACATATGTTTCTAGCCATAAATCAATAAGAGGATGAAATTTTGTTTTTGCCCATGGATAACTACAGCAAATTCAGCCTTGAAGACATCCTTGCAACGTTGTATCGAAGCTTGTAGGTTCCGAAAATAGCATCATTTCTTATTGTCCAGATTGACCAAAGACATGGTGATGATAATCTCCATAAAAAAAGGAAGCCTGAGTTGATCTCCAAGCTCATGAAGATCTCCAATGGATCACTGGTGATGAGGACATCCCAAATGTGCACGCTAGCTCAAGTCCAAAGGATACAAATTAAGGGCCACTTACAAGAAGCCGTGCCAAGAATCTACAAGAGCGGTGAATTCATTCCTAATCGATTGTAATTTTAACACTACGAGAACGTTATACTACCTAAATGTCCTATCTTGATGATGCTTAGGTTTACATGAAGACGTGAAAGGCACATGGTCGAAGGATCAAGACATGGTGCTACAAAATAGTTGTGTCGAAAAAGTAACACGGACGGACGACCGGACCCAGGAAAAAGTGACGCAGAAGGTTAATAGTCTGCCAGGTGCAGAATGTGGTACAACTTCCCATGCAAAACTGTACCAATCTACAAAGTTTCGTGGTGCATGCTGCACATGGCTTGAAAGCTCCTCGAGTCTACTTTCACACCTAACAAACGGTTTGTCATTTGAATTCCCAATAAGGAGTTATGGTCAGATTAGTGGAGACTGCTCTGGAGGCCAAGAGTCACGCGAGACCACTTCGGTAATCCATCTCGTGGTGACCTTTCACATTGCCTATCTTCAGAAAATCCATTTCGTTTTCACACCCAACTAGGAGGGTTGTTCCTAGTATAAATATCCCCTACCTCTAAGCTATTAGAAACCTTTTGATGATTTGATAAACTACATGATATTGCAGCCGAGCTGCCGAGTGCCTTACTCAAACCTTTGTTCTTTCTTGTTCTTCTTGGACTTTTGAAGTGATCCCTCTGGGTTCCCCTAGTTCGTGCTCTACGGTTTCCAATACGGTTGCACCGTTTTGTGTGGATTAGTTCCGGATTGTGTTTCTGCGGTCGTTCGGAGATCGAGTCGAAGTCTTCGCGGTTTCGGTGCCTCTCTCTCTCTCTCCGTCGCTTGGTCGCATCCAACCTTTATCAGGTATAAAGCTAGTTATTCCGCTGTTCGCAGCAAGTTATCTTTTATTCGTGACCTACTGTCGTGAAGATCGTGCCACCCTCAAGGACGTTCATTATCAACTGGTATCAAAGCTTTTGTTGTTACAGTAGGTCTCACCATCATCCACATATTTACTTTTGATTTATCCATCGTTTGCTACTGTTTTTGTTCATCACCTAAAGTCCACTGAAAAAGCCAAAAAAAATCCTATAGCCTTTTGGCGATACTGGTACCTTTGTGTTGTTGTGTTCATCAAGTTGCTAGTCACCGTCTTCACATATATCGTGTTGTTTTCATTTGTTATCCGCACCCTTGTTAGTATAAAAAATCTAAAAAAAGGAGAAGAAAGAAGAAAGAAAGATTAAAAAAAGAGAAGTGAAAAGAATTGAATGTAGGGGCTGTGTTGCGGGTTGTATAATTACAAATTTCAATTTACATATTCAAGTTGGTGGTAATCTCCATAGCAGCAACTTCATATCTTTTGAACACATCAAACCACTTGGATTGCAGTACGTAGCCCCCCTTGATTAGCAACCTATAGCTCCACCAAAATCTGAAACCGGGACGTTCGATTCGTAATCCTTGCAACCTCTCAATCACTTCTGTTGAACTGCTACACTAGCACATTCACTGTCCTTAAGAACAAGCATGAATATTGGTAAGTAAGAGGTGAGGTTGTGTGATTCCACAAATTTGCCTATTCCACTTTTCTTGCATAAGTGCTAACATGTCATGATCCAATTCGAATATTCATGGTGGTCGTCATGGAGAAGAAAAACCCCCTGTTGCACGGGTTGAGTTGCACCAAATGGCAAACTCGTTCTTGGAGGCCATGGAGAGGATGCTCAATGCACGCATGCCTGCAGCATGCACGTAAGGGCTCCTCGCCATCAATATGATGAATCTGGTGGTGAAAATTCGGCGCGAGACATGACCGCTTCGGAGATGATTGTGGTGGTGGTAGGCGGGCTAGTCATCGTCGCCGGGATGGAGGACGTGCTCACGGGCGTGGTCGTGACCATCGTGTGCGTCTTGAAGATGAAGAATCTGATGACTTTGATCATGAGGAGGGATTTGGTGATAATGAGAATCCCTTTGCAAATGATGGGCTGTTTGGGCGGCGCCGAGATCATCGCCAGCGTGCTGATCATGGAGATAGGGAGCATCATCGTGGTCGTCATAATAGGGATGACCCGGACAACATTACTCGTGTCAAGTTAAGTATCCCAAAATTTACTGGAAGAGAAGATGCAGATGCATATCTTGAGTGAGCTGAGCAGTGTGATCAAATTTTTAGAGTGCATAATCTTTCTGATCAGAGGCGTGTCAATCTTGCTTCAGTGGAGTTCTCTGGTTATGCTCTCACTTGGTGGAATCAAATACAGGAGAATCAACTTATGTTGGGTCGTGAACATATCAACACATGGGAAGAGATGAAGCAAGTAATGAGAAGGCGATTTGTACCCTCAAGTTATCGGCGTGACCTTTGCAATAGATTGCAAATGTTGAAGTAAGGAAAAGATCGGTTGATGAGTATTATAAGGAGATGGAGTTGTCAAGAAGTGCGGGCTAGAATTAGAGAGGATCCGGAGTAAACAATGGCAAGATTTTTGGGTGGTCTCAATGAGGAAATTTCTGGTTTTGTTGAGATGTTTCCATATCATACTTTGCAAGATCTTGTTGATCAATCCATGCGCACTTTGAGAAAAATTCAGCAAGAGACACGTGGAAGATCTTATGCAAGCCATTCCATTGCAGCCTCATAGCGCAAGCAGCAGTCCAGTACTTCTTTTGGTGGGGTCAGTCCCAAGGTGCTGTAGCTAGGCCCTCTCCATCTATTGCTCCTTTCAAGATGGCAGCTTCTACAACGTCATCACCTGCAAACCAACAATGGCCTGCTGCAAGTACAACAGCCCCATGTGCCTATCTTCAAAAACTCCATCTCGTGGTGACCTTTCACATTGCCTATCTTCATAAACTCCTTTTTGTTTTCACACCCAACTAGGAGGGTTGTTCCTAGTATAAATATCCCCTGCCTCTAAGCTATTAGAAATATTTTGATGATTTGATAAACTACATGATATTGCAGCCGAGTTGCCGAGTGCCTTACTCAAACCTTTGTTCTTCTAGGACTTTTGAAGTGATCCCTCTGGGTTCCCCTAGTTCGTGCTCTACGGTTTCCAATACGGCTGCACTGTTTTATGTGGATTAGTTCCGAATTGTGGTTCTATGGTCATTCGGAGATCGAGTCGAAGTCTTCGCGGTTTCGATGCCTCTCTCCCGCCTTTGGTCGCATCCAACCATTGTCAGGTATAAAGCTAGTTATTCCACTGTTCGCAGCAAGTTATCTTTGATTCGTGGCCTACTGTCGTGAAGATCGGGCCACCCTAAAAAACGTTCCTTATCAATTGGTGGGGGCACAAACAGGTTTAGAAGGGACATCCCATCATCAAGTGAAAAAGGGTCTCTTCAACATCCAAGGAGCAAAGAACACAATCATAGTCTTCAAGTTCTATGTTTTTGTGTCTATGTTTTGCATCTGCTTGCTTAGCAATCAGCGCTATAGCACCTTCAATTCCTTGCATGGTAGACATCAAACAGAAATGAGCTTGATAATTGTTTAAAGGCTTATTGATTTTTCTTTTACACAAATTTATCGACACTAGCAATGAGTAGCACCAATAGCAGGCAGAGCTCTAGAAATTTTGTTGACAATGTCATCAAATATATTTCTCATAGCCTTAGCATTCAACTTGATTTTGTTCTCAGCTTGCAGTTCAGAAACAAGAGTTCACACTTGCAAAGTTTAGATAATTTTTTTTTTTTTTTCTCGAATACATAGGAGATCTGCATGTATCATTGTATTAAGAGAGGAAAAACGCCTCATACAATTATACCCCCTACAAAGTTTAGAGAATTATCAAGTATCTTCACATCTGGCAGAAGAATAAATGTATACCACAGGTAGTATATGTGATTTCAGTTGTTGGTAAAATAATTTAATTATTGGTTGTGTATAACACAGGTAGTATATGTGATCCATGTGATATCAATTGCTGGTGAAATAATTGAAATTATTGGTTGGTTTGAGAGTTCCATGGTTTTCTAACTGAATTGTTCTATTCTTGTCTTGCAGGCTACAATGATTCCATGAGCAATTGAGATGGTTGTCCTAGACATCTAAATCCAGTGCTTGATTTATAGTGCTGCCACTTGAAGTGCATACCAGCAATAATCCTAATCCATGCTTCACAGAGGTGATTGAGAGAAATTCTGCTACCTGTGACCGGCCAACACATAGACAATTCAAGAAGGATCTAGTCGAGCACACATGGTAGCACTATGATCACAATGGAAATTGGACCAAAATGATGTAATCGTATTATATTTTATTTGAGTTATGAAAAAACTATTATATTATATATAAATGTATTAAAATATTATTTATATTGATGATTCTAAAAAATATTGTAATTATGTTCATCTTATTTATGCTTGTTTTGTTTTGTATCAAGAAGCAACACAATGGTATACATGAATCTATATTTATGCTTGTTCATAGCTATATGCAAGCATTAAAAAGTTTACAGAGTTAAATAGACAACTCATTATACAAGTTGTTTGTTCAGTTATCTATGTATAAAATGGAAAGAATTTTGGGTTGTATATGTCCTAACAAGAACATCCACTTTATCACCTAGGCCCTGATAAATGTGACTCACAGGGCACATAGGAAGACCTTGATTCCGCTACGCCGATGTTGCTTGATGCAAAATTTGGAACAAAAGTGCAGTCAGGTGTGGCATCTAAGCTCTTCACACCTTCCAAAACCTTGGCGACTGTGGACATCAAGGGCCTTGCGCTGCTATCAACCTGCAAGCACCACATTGCAAGCTTCATTGTTTGCATGACCTCCTCCATGTGGAATTTCATATCATTGCTGGTACTGTCCACCAAATCAGATAGCTGACCCGACCTAGCCTTCTCTTGAAGCAGACTTATCAAGTGGACGCTCCCCTCGGGCTGCGATTCATCCAAATTCTCTCGACCGCAAATGATTTCGATCATCACAATCCCAAAGCTGTAGATGTCAGCCTTCTCAGTGATTTTTGAGCCCAGCCATTCGGGTGCTAGATAACCACGCGTTCCTCGCATTCGAGTCATTACTTTGCTCTGGTCCCTGTTTATCATCTTCGAAAGTCCGAAATCTGAGAGCTTTGCATTGAATTCATCATCCAGGAGAATGTTTTGTGGCTTGATGTCTAAATGTGCAATCTTTTCCTTGCATTCTTCATGGAGGAAAGCCAACCCCCTAGCAACAGCAATGATGATGTTACGCCTAGTTCTCCAAGAAAGAGTGAAAACTGGGCTTGTGTGAAAAATCCATTTATCCAGTGAGCCGTTTGACAAGTAGTCGTAGACAAGGAGTTTATGTGATTTCTCAGCACAAAATCCTACTAACCTAACAAGGTTACGGTGATGCATTCTACCAATCGTCTTGACCTCTGCCAAGAACTCTTCTGTTCCTTGCTCGACACCCTCCAAGCGCTTGACAGCAATGGTTTCCTTGCCTATCCTGCCTTTGAAGACCGACCCAAAACCGCCATGTCCCAACTTCATGGAAAAGTTGCTAGTAGCAACCTTCAACTCATCGAAGGAGAAACGCTTTGGTGTCCCAAGTATGACATCAAAGAGAAGTCCCTCATCTTTCTTGCGCCTTTTCCATATGACAGCACAAACAAATATTGTCATTAGAGAAAAACCTGCGGCTGTGCAGCTGGCAACAATAATCACCATCCTAGGCCTTTTCTCTGGGGGGGCTATCTTGTATCTTTACAAATGCTGAAAACTGATTTGATGAATCATCTGCAAACAAAATTAACATCTGCTCTGATAACAACAGGCAGTGACCAACATCTGTACCCGAATCATTCTGAAAAATCACTACCTGGCAAGAGCAGTTCATTAGACAAGACTGCTTGCAATCATATTCTGAATAGCCTGAAGCAGCCAGTTTTGAAAAGGAACTGTGACTGAAGTAAGAAATGTTGTTCAGTGGTATGAGCTTGTGGTCATGAGCGTGTTCGCAGGAGATGCCTGATAAGGGTATGCATCCAGAACCTGGAAGCCGTTCATTTTGGAACCTGAAAGTGTGCTGAAACTAGGACACGAACATTGCCCACTGTTGCAAACGCCATAATCACCGCAGGCCAGCGGGTAATCACAGAAGGCAACCACTGTGCTTAATACATCTAACAACATCCGCGGTGAGTTTTGTTCCTGCATCTCATAAAGCCTCAAGTGCCCGTCAGACTCTAACCTCATGAATTGCAAAGAACTTGCTGACGGTAGTGAGAAGATCTTATCTGGGAACCCAAAGCTGCCATTGGCAAACGCGTAACAAGCTGATGATTTAGTAGGAGTCGATGTTGCTGTTGACTGGAACAGCTGTGTGTAAGCTGCTGGTTCGAAATAGTGCCGCAGCCCATTCAACTCTGCCGATAGATAGAACCTGGAAGACGACCATTTTTGGCTTGAGAGCTTGGCGCGAAGCTTCGTTCCACTGCAAAGTGACTGCCCCATGACCAAAGTATCCGTTGGGTGGTCGAAAGACTGCCAGACTAAGGAACTATTCTGATCAAAAGCACAAGGTTTCCTGAAAGATCGAGCCTCATTCCTGCAACTGACTTGTTCTTGGTGGCTGTGGACCATATAAATGTGCCACTATCTTGGAGCAGCAAATCCCCTTCCGCGGTGAAGGTCAAGATGGCGCTCGGGCTTACAGGATTGTCCGGGTTGGCAGACCAGACGATGGGACCTTGAGGCCCCGAGAGAGCGCTATGACGAGAATGAATGAATGGCTATCCATGGTATAGAAGCCAAAATAAGTTCCATACGAGAACCCACTATTGTGAAGAACGGGAAGAAAAGTAGTGTCCCCTTGACCTATAGATGTGTTACTACTACTTTCAACTCTTTGCATAGTGGAAATGATCCAAAATTTGGGTTAAACTTTGGGGAGGAACTACAGGTACAGAGGATGGCTGGGCAATGATGGAGCGGGGAGAACAAAAGCCAAGGAAGAAAAGAAGGGCCATGGACTTGTTGAAACATTGCATGGTTATTGTTTTTGTGCTTAAGATAATCATCAATGACCTTTGCATGCAGTCAGCTCCGCTGAACAGATCCTAGATAGCACATCTGATTTATCTGGAGAGAATCACAGCCCACAGAATCCACCTTGCTTGCAAAATCTTCACTGTATACAAAGTTGAACGGCAGAAGAGACGTCACTTAGTAGGAGCAAAAGCATAGGGGATGCAGAGAGAAAAAAAAAAGAGAGAAGCCGTTAAACAGCATAGACAGAAGGATAAAGGATGTACCTTGTCAAAAACTAAACTTTATTTCTCTCCTTTGGGGAGTCCTGAAAGAAAGATTGACATGAGAATCGATGAGAACAATAATACAGTGGTTGTCTGGTACTCTGGTGATATGTGAAACCCCATCTGTCTCTCACGCTTTAAAGAGCATCAAACTCAACTAGAAAAATGCAGACATGAGTCTTCTCCACGCGCACGGAAGTCTACATGCAGGACAGGAAAGAAAGGAAAATAAACAGAATAAAAGCCCTTTGATCTACAGTCCAATATGTCGGCTCTTCAGACTTTGGACGACGATTCTCCAATGTGTGGGCAGGACTAGTTGTCGCTACAACTGTCCTGTACTGTACCTTTCTACCATCAATCAAGGATGACTGGGTCACTATGCCAACAGATTTGAGTAGTCACAATCAGAGAGAGAACAAACGAAAGTGAATAAGGAGGCGTTTGGTTGTTTAGTCGCTCCTAAAATTCATATCACGTTGAATGTTTAGATATTAATAAAGAACATTAAATATAGATTAATTACAAAACCAATTACATAGCTAGAGGCTAATTTGCGAGACGATTTTTTAAGCCTAATTAATCTGTCATTAGCACATGTTTACTGTAGCATCACGTTGTCAAATCATGGACTAATTAGGCTTAAAAGATTCGTCTCGTAAATTAGTCGTAAATTGTGTAATTAGTTTTGTAATTAGTCTATATTTAATACTTCATACATATGTCTAAACATTCGATGTGATAGAAATTTTAGGAGCCCGTCAGTAATCAACACCCCCTGAGCTTGTCGTTGCAGGCCACGCCGATCGCTTGCACTATTCCCCAGCTGTGGGTCCCGCCACTACAGGAAGCTGTGAGAGGAAACCAGGATAGAGAAAAGTAGCTTACGGACCCTGTATAAATTTAAAACTGATCCTGCTTGTTTGACTTGCTTTTTAGCTATGAAATAGTGTTTTTTCTCAAAATATTTCAACATAAGCATCGATATAAGTCACATTTCAGCATAAGCGAACAGGGTAACTATATTTGGAATAGGAGGAGAGCCTAAATTGTTGTATGGCTTGTCTCATATGCTAGTCTCTTGATGACTTAACTTGGCTTATAGCCAAGCTTATTAAACCTGCTCTTAGAGCACGTCCGAGAGTTTCCTAAATCCCCTCATAATCCTTGATTTTAGAAAGATGAGAAAAAAATCTCTCTCCAACAACTTTTAATACTTCCTTTTAAAATTTACATTCCAGAATGGTGTAGCGGGAGCGCGGGTATGTGTTTCAAAATTCAAATGAGGTGCTTCCTTGCAGTAGTGGCGGAGGCACAGGGTATGCCAGGTATGCACTGCATACCCTGCGACAACAGATAAATATACTATTATATATTGTATACGGTATTTGTATTTGTATTTATGTAAAAGAAAAAAAAAAAAAAAACTTACCTGAATGCATCACGACACCACGATTCCACGAATGGCCCACTTGAGGCACAGGCACCCCACGTGGCCCACGCATGAAGGCGCACGTCACAGCAAAGAAGGCGCACGTCGTCCAGGTCCACTAGGTTGGGCTGCCGCTGTGCCGCATGAACACGTCCTTCGGTCCTTGGCGGCGGCGACATGTGTTGCCGGATCCGATCGGTTGCTTGTTCCCCTCGCCCACCTTGCTTGTTCTCGCCGGTGGCAAGGCCACAGGTCCTGCGATCGGAGCAGGAGGCGGCGGATGATAAACATTCGTAACACCGAGATCCATCTCTACGCGTGACATTCCCTGTTGTCCTGCGCGGCTCATCTCCATCCTCTCGTCGTCGACGTGGGATCTGGACGATCCTCTTCGCCGCTTCTCCTTCGCTCTCCTACTCGATCTAATAGTCTACACCGTGATAAGGCGGCGTCTAGGCGAATTTGTGATCACAATTATTTTGGTGAGATTCAATCTTTGTTCTTCGGCTTTTTAAAAAAATTCATGTGTACTTTAATTGTTAATTGCTTAGCGCTAAAATTATAGAATCATCTATCACGCTGGCGAGGTGGAGGATTTTCTCAACATCGAGTGGATCTTAATTGATCTTTGTTCAAGTACTCATATCATGTGAGTGATCCATAATCGCATCTGAGAGTTCAATGGTGCAAGCGCAATTTATTTAATTATTTGGCATTGTGTTCTTTGTAATATTTATGCAGTTATGAAGAGAAACGTGGACATTGCATCTCTTTTTCAGAAGCATGCAACAAAGAAGAAGGCTGCGGCAGCTGCTGCTACTTCTAATCCTGATCCGATTGAACCTGTGGTGGAAGAGCAGATTCATGAGAGAGTAGTTGAGGAAATTGTAAATCCTATGCCACCGCCACAACCGTCTTCAGACACCAATCGCCTTCCACATGATCCAGGTGAAAGACATCATATTCTAAAATATCCTGTTAATGATCAAGATGCAATTCGAAGAACATATATTATTAAAGGTCCATTCAAACCTTTTGCACATGATTTTCCAAAAAGAAAGATTTCAGACAAGGATCGGGGATTCAACTATTGTTGGATGTATAATAATGATTGGCTTGAGTATAGTATTAAGAAGGATGTTGTGTTTTGCTTCATATGCTATTTGTTCAAGAAGGGTACTGGGTCAGACACATTTACTGTTGATGGCTGGAAGAATTAGAATATAGGAGAGAAAGCACTTCACAAACATATGGGTTCTAAGGCACATATTGCAGCTCAAGAGAGATACATTGGCTTTACAAATCTCAAGGTAGCAATTGATTATAATATTGACAAGTGGAGTGATGAGGATCTTCATCTTTATAAGAAAAGGTTGACTTATTCACTTAGGTGTATCAAGTTTCTTTTGCATCAAGGACTGGCGTTTCGTAGACATGATGAAAGTAAAGAATCTAGCAACAGATGGAACTTCATTGAACTTTTGAAATTTCTTACCGGAAATAGTGAAGAAGTATGTTTTGGACAATGCTCCAGGTAACTGTACCTTAACTAGCCCAGACATACAAAAGCAAATTATTCATTGTTGTGTCCTAGAAACTAGAAAAGAAAATAATTGAAGAACTTGGTGATGAGCCCTATGCAATTTTAGCTGATGAGTCTAATGATATATCACATAAAGAACAACTAGCTCTTTGCTTACGTTATGTTGATAAATTGGGAAGGCCATGTGAGCATTTTATTGGAGTTGTTCATGTAGATGATACTGCCTGTTTATCACTTAAGGATGCAATTGAAGCTTTATTTGTTAGTCATGGCTTGACTATGACTCAAATCCGTGGTCAAGGATATGATGGGGCTAGCAACATGAAAGGAGATATTAAAGGGTTGAAAACATTGATCATGCAAGAATCACCTTCTGCTTATTATATTCATTGTTTTGCTCATCAACTCCAATTGGTTCTTGTTGCTGTTGCCAAGGAAAATACTGATTGCAAGACTTTTTTTGATCAAATATCTATCTTGTTGAATATTGCTGGAGTTTCCTATAAGCGTCATGGCATGCTTAGAAATGCTAGGCTTGAGAATGTCAAGAAAGCACTTGACTGTGGTGAAATTGAATCTGGAACTGAATTACATCAAAAGATGGGTTTACCTTGGCCTGGAGATACTCGATGGGGATCTCATTACAAAACTGTATGCAGCATTATTACTATGTATGAAGCAATCCATGATGTACTGGTTGATCTTGGGGATGATCCTGCATATAAGGATGATTGGACCAAAATATATTTTGTGACCGAAGCTTTTGAGAACTTTGAGTTTGTTTTCTTTGCACACTTAATGTATATTATTCTTGGATATACAAATGAGTTATCTGAGTGTTTGCAAAGAAGGGACCAAGATATTCTTAATGTAATATCACTTGTTAATGTGGCAAAGAAAAGAATGCAAAAATTGAGGTATGATGGTTGAGATAATTTTCTTGAGAAGGTCACTTCATTTTGCGATAAACATGGTGTTGAAGTTCCTGCTATGGATGGTGATTACTCGTGCCCAAAAGCAAACCAATGATGACCACTTTAGAAGAGAAGTATATATTGGTGTCTTTGATCAAATAAGTCAAGAACTTGATAATCGGTTTGATGAGATTAATATGGAGTTGTTGTATTGTATGTCGGCCTTCAGTCCTTCCAAGGCATTTGCTTCTTTTAATGCACAGAAGCTACGTAGACTAGCTGAGTTCTACCCAAAGGAGTTCTCAAATAAT